CGCTGTGGGAGGGGGACGCCGGGGCTTCACGCCCGCCTCCGGCCAAGCAGGAAGGCTGCAGGGGAAAGCGCTGCCCCGCGTCCCGGCCCGGCAGCTGGCACCACCGGGCACACAACCCCCACGCCAGCGAGGTGTTGAGCTCTGCAGCCTGTTTTCACGCAGCCCGTGCCAACCATTGTATTAAAATTTTTCCTCTCCGTCAGCATCGCACACGAGGGCCACGGTGTTAATGGACCGTGCAACTAAGCACACGCCGGAGACAAACAAGGAAAGCGGATGCCAGAACAGGTCAGGCCAGGGATCCGCCAGTCCCCGGCTCTGCCGCCTCCCAGCCACCCACAGCAAAGGCACAGCTACGAGGACTCCGACACAAAATACCCCCGCGCAAGGACATAGTGCCCCCCAAAAAAACAGATTCTTTGCTGCATCAGCCACTGCCCCAGCAGCTCTGCATCCTCCAGCATCCGAGCGAGGTTTGCCTACGGCAGATCACACTTGCAGCTACCGGCAGGCCGCAGCCACACAGTGTCTGAGGGGAAAAGCTCCGAGGCCGGGCCCAGACCCACGGGAAGGGGCAATCCACGGGGCAGGGGAAGCCAGGGGTGCTGCCAAGCCCCACCGGACGCTGGAGCAACTGATTCACAGCCTGATTTTGAGCAACCTTGGGTCCCTGTGCCAGCAGCTTCTGTGTCCCAGCCCCCGGGGAGCGCTGCGGCTGGGAAGGGAACAAAGCTGGACTCCTGTCAAGTCCCCGCGAGTCTCTCTCGGAGGCACTTCGCAAGGAGCTGGAAGACTTGTCACTTCGGATCAGCTGCAACGACCGCGGCCCTTTGCTGCTCTGAGCGAGGGGCCCATCTCAAACTGAGGAAAGTTACAGACATCTGCGAGCACTAAATAATACATCTCATCATGCACGGGCTGCCTGCACCTCGGCGGCAGGGCGTCGCCGCTGCCTCCCCTCAAACACCATTTTGCACTTAGGCAGCCCCCCACAACTTTCACAGCGCTTTAAGATCACCCTGAGGCTCGCCGGCCCCCCTCTCCCCCC